AACAGAGCTTTTAAAATAGTCTCAGGACTGAAAATTTGCCCTTATATGTAGGAAACTAAAGTGGTACAGAAGATAAGGCAGTATACAAAGTATATGCTTGCCGTTTTCACTCTTGCTCCCAAATGCATAAGGTTTAGTTTGTTAATCATGAATGTATATTACTTAATAGCAATTCCTTGAAAACTTTCGTTTTAATTTTTCAGTGAAATTTTAGAAAATATAATTTACTCTTTAATATCAATGCCATACAAATTAAATAAAGCCTCATGACAATCTGATAATAAACTATACATCTCATATCTACCACTTATATATTTCCCTTGTTTCTATGCTAGAATCAGCATATGATTTATAATACTTTTTTCTAATATTTAAAAGATGCTTTAAGAGATAAGCTAGGAAGGATCATCCAAAGATTATTTTAGTTGTTTCGTTTGTATAACAAATATTTATTTATTCACTGCTTACTATCTGCCAGGCTCTAGTGAAAATAGAATACAAAATAGCTAAGTTTACAGTAAATACAGCAGGCTTACCCCTTTCTTTTAGTCTCATTTGATTTACAAATAAAATTATTTTCAACCACTAACATATTAACATATTCAAAAGTTAAAATGAATTTAAAAGAAATATAATAAAAGTCCCATTTTCCCTGTTTTCTTCTTAATCCCCACAAAGATTTAGATTTTGTATACACCTCCAGATTTTTTAATGTAAAAATAAGCAAATACGAATATATAGTTTTACTCCCCTCCCAATTTACACCAAAAATGGTTGAGTATACATTATGTTTTGAATTCTGCTTTTTCCAAATAACAACGGTATATGAAAAACTTTCCAAATGTGCATATAGAAAAAAATCCTCTTTTTTTTTTAACAGCTGTAGAGTATTTCATTGTATAGTTATGTCTTAGCTCTTTTAACCAACACCTTACCAATAGACACCAATGGATTTCCAATCTTTTGCTACCACATAAAAAGCTACAATGAAAACTCCTGTACATGTTATTATGTAAGTATACACAAGAATTTCTGTAATAAATTCCCAAAACTGGTACTGAGATGAGGTAAATGCATTGGTCTTTTTCTAGAAATTAACAATTTGTATTTCACAGGAGTTGCATCATTTTGCACTTCCACAACATATACATCTCAGATTTATCCTGAAAAAAGTCTCTCTTCAGGCCTCTAAAATAGTTTGTTCATGAGGCAATTTCAAAAGACAAGCTCACTGCAATAAACTCCATAAAGCTCTTGGTTAATTTTTTCCCAGATGCAAATGTAAAATTTGTTGACTTAGTAAGTTTAAAAGCAAATAAATTTTCAAATTTAAAAACAAACCTTACATAAACTCAGTAAATCAGCATATTAATGCCTAAATGTGCTGGGATAGCAACTATTTGTCTTTCCAGTATTTCCTGTGGTCTAAAAACAAATATATTCCCTACTCCAGTTTTTTAAAAACTTCACATTCAGTACTTTATAAATGGATAAGAAGTCAAATGCATTTTACTTCTAAATGAATGTTTTCCTAAAACACTTAAATGTTTTCATGAAGTCAAATCTGTGTTACTTGTATTATATTTTTTAAGCCATAATTTCAAAGGTGATCTAATCTTTATGATCACCATTTTTAATAGGCACTATCATCTAATGTGTTATTTTTATTTCAATGTCTATCCTATCAAATGTTTAATAATTAGAAAACAAACACTTAAGTCCACTGAAATTCCTATTTGATTTCATCCTTAAGTAAATCAGTTTCAATAGCCTACAACTGTTTTGCTAGAAAACATGTAAAGGATCATTTTTATTCCCCAAATAAAGATAGGCAAACTATGTTGCATATACATCAGGCAGAAATCAGCCAGACAGAAATCAGTCTGAGATCTCAATACCCTGTAAAAACAAAGTGGCTAAACTAGTTGCTGATACTAAAATGAATTTTAAAATGCTAGCACAAATTCTCTGCTCTTATAGTCAGCAGATGTGACAGAACCATACTTAAGCTCTGACATAAGTAATACATAATGTTAGGCAAATGTGTTGATTTTAAATATGAGTCAAACAGAATGCACTGACAACAAAAAGTAAGAATTACCTAGGAAATGTAAAATAAAACAAATGAGGAAACACATCACAGTGGCTCTGAGGACATAAAAGCTTATCAGGCTAGGATAATTTAGAAGAAAACAGTCCAACATAGCATATGATTCTGAGGAAATAATTTTATTTTAATTCTATAAAATGACTGATGTTCACAATAACAACTCAGAGCCATTAAAAAAATTTTAAATGTATTCTGTTAAGAAAACAAAGATGTTCATTTTTCTAATGAATGAAGTACTCAAAGTAAAATGTCTCTATTAAAATCAGAATATACAGTGGCTGGTCTTTAGAAGATGAACTGTGATAATGTAAAATAACATTATGGGGGCTTTAGACAGGAACATTTTTTCCCCGTTTTTTTTTTTTTTTTTTTTTTTTTTTGTAATGATTTCTCCTTGCCATAGACATGCAACTTTCTACGCTAAGTCAGTTTTTAGTCAACAGTCAAAAGAATACCTGATTTTTTCTGCAAGTTATGTAGGCAAATTTTCACTCAAGGAAATGTCCTGATTTCATTTTACTTTAAGTTGTAACTGCCAAAGTAGATATGTTAGTCTGGTTTCCTAGCTCCAATTTGCTATATGACCTTGTTCAAGTGACTCTGTCTCTCTAGTCCTCCTTAGTTTCTTCATCAGTAAAGTGAAGGAGTTATAGAAGGCATAACTTGTTACTAAATAGAATGAGTGTGCTAACAAAGTGAAACAGAGTGACTGCAGTAGGTCCTGTATCTACATCAATGCTATAACTAGATCTATCTGTATGTACTCTATATTTAAACTATCTCAAACTACTATATGTCATTTTACTATATATATAAGGCCTACAATAAAAGAAATGATAATCATTTTAGAATCTTCCCCAACATTTAATATTGTTACAGTCAGGATATAACAAATTTTTCATTAACTCACTTAAAATACCACTATAATCAATTACCCTGTGATACTGAATTAAATATCTTCTAGCCAAAATAAATTACTCACCTGACAGATTAAAAACACAAAAACACATGATATGCAACCAGGATATTTTTTAAAAAACATTCTCAGCAATGTCATCAAATACTAAAATCAACACAATGATCTACCAACAGTAGAATAGATGAATAAATTCTGGCACATTTAATTCAAAGGGATAGTACATAGTAACAAAAATGAATGAAGTAAAACTACAAATAACTACATGGATAACTCTTCAAAACATAATGCTGAGTAAAGGAAGAAAGAATACACAATTCCATAAAAAAAGAGGCAAAAAAGTAAACATATTGCTTGGGAATACGTATAAAGTAACAAAATTATATTGAAAGTTGTATAAATAATTACCATAAAAGTCATGATACTAGTTACCTCTAAAGAAAATAAAGAGTGGCCAGGTGCGGTGGCTCACGCCTGTAATCCCAGCACTTTGGGAGGCCGAGGCGGGTGGATCACGAGGTCAAGAGATCGAGACCATCCTGATCAACATGGTGAAACCCCGTCTCTACTAAAAATACAAAAAATCAAAAAATTCGCTGGGCATGGTGGCGCGTGCCTGTAATCCCAGCTACTCAGGAGGCTGAGGCAGGAGAATTGTCTGAACCCAGAAGGCGGAGGTAGTGGTGAGCTGAGATCGTGCCATTGCACTCCAGCCTGGGTAACAAGAGCAAAACTCCGTCTCAAAAAAAAAAGAAAGAAAGAAAGAGTATACCAAGGGTCTCTGGGATGCCAGTAAAACTCTGTGGTTACATAGATGTTTGCTGTATGTTTAATTTATAATTATTCATTGTTATACCTTTATATTACTGTATCACTACATTTTACAACAAAAAATTATAATTATATATTTTCTAAAATAACACTAATATATTTTTATAAAAAAGGAAGGACTCCTTTCTGCTATCAACAATTTCTTTGCTCTACATTTCTATTTTTTATTGCAATATTTTAATAATAAATCAGTTACTATGCCTAATTCTCCACAATCCTAATTAAAAGTGGATTTCAGAGGCTTACTCAATGGCTACAAAATACTACCAGGCCTTTAAATAATATAAGATCAGTTATCCTGCTAGATCTTGGCTTAGCAGCTCCATGTTGTATCTGTCACTCTACCTTCTTTTCAAGAAAATGTATGCTTATTTAAAAAAAATTCCAAATGATAATTCAGGTAATAATTTGAGGCATGCTGAATTCCAAAAAATGCAATAGTTTAGTTTTAAGGTAGGAAGAAATACACTTTTAATTTTCACACATTTAAAAATAATTCTGGGAGCACTTGTGTATGCACACAACATGAAGGCCCATGACTTAACGGTAGGTCACAGTCTCTACAGATGAAACCCACACTGTGAGTACTAGAAAACATGATAGCAGGATTATAGCATAGATATACAATGTCTAATGTAAATTACACTGGGGAAGTTTTTATATTTTCTTTGGAAAAACAAAAGTAAAGGGAATGGAAATTACTACAGAAGATATAATAATAGTAAATTAATCTACATTACCAAAAAACCACACGATTTACAAAATCCTCAAAGTCCACCACCTAGAAGCATCCCTCAATGTGAACAGTTATTACAAGTTTTAGATACTGCTCAACGGGAAGCAGACGATGAAATTTTTAAACAAGACTATCAGTACTTTCATCAGGCTCCAGGTAACAATATGATGGCAATAGTATAGCACCTTTATAATAATAGTTGCTTTTGTTGAATACTATTGTTTTTTGTGAATGCAGCCAAGGATTCCTTTCCTTAGTGGGTCCAACTAACTAGTTATTTGCCCGTCTATTAAATGCCAACTTGACAAAATTACATTGTGTCCAGCAGGGAGCCGTATTACAACAGTCATAAGTGTTAAGTTGAACATGAAACTGACAGAAAAAAAAGGAGGGAAAAGCTCACTTACCGTAAATCTGTTCTATAATTCATTCAATTTTTAGGGAAGTCACAGGGCTTCCAGTAAAAAAAAAATGAAGCATGTCTCAAAGCGTATGTGGGTGATCCATGATTTCAGGAATCCTAAAGCAGGAAATCAAAATTATATTAGGTGAAAGCTTTTTTCAACCATATTGAATTGAATTCGCATATACTATGACTGAATGACAACTGCAAAGGTGCATCTTCCCCTTAATGGGTCCATGAGATCTTGAATTCAGGAATTTGATGACACTTTGGAAAAAATAACTTAAAAAAAGAGTATATTAATGTCCTTTATCCACCAGAGAATTTAGGTCAAAGAAGAAAGTAATAGCTAATAGATTATATGATATCAACCTAGAAAGAACTATGGTCCAAGAGTTAAATGAGTTGACAAAGCAACCATCAACAGTTCACTAAACTCTTCTAAAGTGAGATATAGAGAGGATACAAACATTAACTTCTACGGGTTACCATGAACAACTGAGGTTAACTTTAAAGAAAAAAAAGGAGCAGAAAAGCAGACTGCAATGCTGGTGATATAAGACTAATTAGATATGCACTGAATATGAGGAATGTGGTGATACTGTAAAAAAACCTCATGACCAGTTATGACAAAGGCAAAACAATATTTTTGATACAGACTTGGATGTCAAAACCTGCCTCATTGTCAACTATAATAATTCTAGGTCAGTTCTTATGACTGAGAAAAAAAATTCATTTTCATTTGAAATGTTCAAGTTTGCTTGTAGTGGGTTTACATGTGACCTTTCAGTGTCTACCAGGAAAAGCAAATTTTTGTCTTTAAAACAAGATAATGTATGCATATTCACTATTAAATATATATAATTACATATACAATATCATATATCAATATGTTATTAATATATAAATAATAAAACATTTACTTGAAATTTAAAGAATATGTAAAATACTTCCTATTTTCTGGCAAAATGACACAGCAGTTTGACTTGGGCGAATGATACAAGGAATATGGTTACACTCTAATAATTACCATTAATTTGACTGAAGCTGCAAGAAACACTGATATATTAACCTTCTACACTTTAGTAGTAAACTATTCATTGCATTACTTACCATCTTTTGCTCTCCTTAGTCTTCTCATCCTATCTCTTGCCTTTGCCTTTACACATTTCACTTTTCTGGTAACTCCTCATTTCTGCCAATCTATCTTCCTTCTCTTTTGTAATGCATTTCTGTATTAATCCAAAATTTTAATGCAATCTCCTCTCTTTATGACCCTACCACTTTTTTTCTTTTATCCCAGTACCTTTAAAAATGAGTTTTTTCCTATAACAATAGTCTGTTTAAATATATCCTTTCATTCACCTACAAGCACCACGCTTGATCTTAACAATCTTAAAAATCTCACATAATTGGAAGACACAAGTAAATATACTTAAATTATATGTTATTCATAACAGTTTTCCTCTGAGTTATTTAATTAAAGAAACTGCTTTAAATTCTATCTTGAAACGTGAAAATTTCAAGGAAATTTAATCTCACACACTCGTTATAAAAAACTTGAGAGACAACCACTTTCTAATAGTTAATTTAGGTAACTTAGGATCTTACTACATTGATGTGAATAAATACTGAGTAACCACCTTCTCTAAATCAATAGAATTTTATCGCAATTTATTCATAAGTGTGTACATGTAATGTGCAATATCCACATTAAAAAGCCAAAGTACGTTAAATAACCCCCTATTTCTAATACATATTATAAAGTCTGAGAATAAAAGTGATCTTCCTGTTCAGCACTAAGTATTAACATTAAAGGTATTAATATGCTGTAAAATAATTTCATAATAATTACTCACAAGACTTGAAATTTTTAAAATTTGTACATAGATTATATAATACCATTTATAATATAATAACCTAAAAAGAGACTATAGTAAGTTGAGAAATGTTCACCCTTCCTGCCTCCCCTACCCAAATTCATGTTCACCTGGAACCTCAGAATATGATCTTATTTGGAAAAAGGATCTTCACAGATGTAATTAAGGTAAGGACCAATGTGAGATCCTACTACAATTAGAAAGGACCCTAAATCCAATGACAATGTCCTCATTAAAGACAGAAAAGGACACAGGAAGACACAGAGAAAAGAACAATGTAAAAATGAAGGCAGCCTGGAGTCACACTGACTCAGGGCAAGGAATAACATGCCACCACAAGCTGTAGAAGTAAAGAAGGATTCTCCCTTAGTTTTCAAAATAAACATGGCATTGCTGACGCCTGTCTTCGTGTTTTTGACCTCCAAAATTGTGAGAAAATTAATCTCTGTATGTTAAGCCACCAAGATTTTGTTCATTTGTTATGGTAATTTTAGAGAACTCACATAGATTTTCAAACCAAAAAATGGAGTGCTGCTGCAATAGATACCTAAAAATAGAAAAAGCCTAGACTGCATTGAAGACATTTTTGGTAGAAAAATAAATCTTAAGAGAATTCTGCTAAGGGCTCAGAAGGAAAAGAAGTAAAGAAAGCTTCTATTACCTTAAAGAATACATACATTATCATGAACAGAATGTTGGTAGAAACAGGAACATTAAAAAGGTTTCTGATGAAGTCTGAAGAAGGAAATGAAGAACATTAAATTGGAAAGAAAAAGCAGTCCTGATTGTAAAGTGGCTTTGAAAACTTGACTGAAATGTGTCCTATATGGCGGAAATTAGAACTTGGTAAGCAATTAACTTGAATATGTAGTTGAGGAGATTTCCAAGCAAAGTATTAAAGTGTACACTGTTTTCTCCTAGCTGCTTACAGTAAAATGTGAGAGAAAAGAAATGAACTGAGGAAGAAATTGTTAAGCAAAGAAAAGTCCATGATTTGGAAAATTCTTAGCCTATCTAAATTGTAAAAGTTGATAAAGCATGCGCTGGAGAAGGACCAAGGATGTGGCTGAAAACCCTTTTCTGAAGAGATTAGGTGTGTGACTAACAGGTCCAATCAATCTTTTCAGCAGAGGCTAGGAACAGAAATGAGGTTATCCAGGAAGGATCTTTGAAGAATTCTTATAATGGTAGAGATCCTCTAAACATGCATGGGAGACCCACATTAAATATTTAGTAAACCATGCTATAAACAGATGTGCTGTCACCCAGACTTTATTGTTCTGTCTACAGAGAACAGGTAGAGTAGATTTAGTATAATTCTTAAGGGCATTGGGATTTTCATAATGGTAAATAAGCCCTGGCTTCAACTTAATAGTTTCCATTATCCTCTTAGAAGAGTGAGCTTGTCCTGTGAGGCTTCAAAGCCAGGCATTGACTTCTCTCCAGCTATGAAAAGTTCTAGGTAGCACCTTCTTCCAACAGAAGGCTGTTTTCATCTACACTGAAAATTTGTTATTTCATGTACCCACCTATATCAACTATCTTTGCTAGATATAGACAACTTGCTACAGCTCACCATACACTGCTATGTTACGGCTTCTTACCTTAAACCTCATTAATACAACCTCTGCTATCTTCCAAATGTTCGCCTGTAGCTTCCTCACCTCTCTCAGCCTTCACAGAATTGAAAAGAAACAGGATCTTACTCTTGATTAGGCTGTGACTTGAAGGAAGGTTGTCGCTGATTTCATCTACCCAGACAACTAAAACTTTCTCCATATCAGCAATAAGGTTGCTTCTCTTTCTTATCATTCATGAGTTCACAAATTTTTCCACTGCATTCATAGCTTAACTGTTTGCAAGAGGCCTACCTCCTGGCTTGTCTCAGGTTTCAACAGGCCTTCCTCAGTAAGCTTAATCATTTTCTAGTTTTTTATTTAAGGTGACAAATATGCAATGCTTTCTTTCACTTGAACACTTAAAGACCACTGTATGGTTAATTGTCCTAATTTCAAAATTATCGTGTCTCAGAAACACAATGAAGTGAATAGGGAGTAAATAGGGAGGTCAGAGAAGGAGAGATGGAGGAACAGCTGGCTGATAGAACAGTCAGCATGCATACATTTATTAGGTTAACCATCTTATAAGGGCACAGATTCTGGTACTCAAAATAATTACAATAGCAACGTCAAAGACCCTGATCACAGATAACCACTGCAGATATAATAATGTTGAAAAAGTTTGAAATACTGAAATATTGCAAGAATTATCAAAATGTGACACAGATACACAAAGTGAGCATGCACTGTTGGAAAAATAGGACCAACAAACTTGCTCATTGCAGGGTTGTCACAAATCTTCAATTTGTAAAAAATGTCATGTCTTCAAAATTTGGTAAAGTGAAACACAAGTAAGATCATGCATGCCTGTAGTTTTTCTATAAAAAATATTAAGGGACCCTGAAAAGCCAAAATAATTGTATTACTCTGTTCTCACACTGCTGTAAAGAAGTGCCCAAGACTGGGTAATCGATAAAGAAAAGAGGTTTAATTGACTCACAGTTCTGCAGGAAGGGGGAAGCCTCAGGAAACTTACCATCATGGTAGAAGGAGAAGTAAACATGTCCTTCACATGATGACAAGAAGGAGAAGTGCCAAGCAAAGAGGGGAAAGCCCTTTATGAAACCATCGGATCTCATGAGAACTCACTCACTATAATGAGAACAGTATGGGGGTAACCACCCCGATGATTCAATTACCTCCTACCGGTTCCCTCACATAATATGTGGGGATTATGGAAACTATAATTCAAGATGACATTTGGGTAGGGGAATAGTCAAACCATATCATTTCACCTCAAACCCCACCAAAATTTCATGTCCTCACATTTCAAAACACAATCATGCCTTTCTAATAGTTCCCTTGAATCTTAGCTCACTCCAGAATTAACCCAAAAGTCCAAGTCCAAAGTCTCATCTGAGATAAAGCAAGTCCCTTCCACCTATAAGCCTATAAAATCAAAAGCAAGTTAGTTACTTCCTAGATACAACAAGGGTACAAGCATTGGGTAAATATATCCATTCCAAATGGGAGAAATTGGCCAAAAAAAGGGGGCTATGGGACCTATGCAAGTCCAAAATCCAATAGGGAAGTCTTTAAACCTTAACGTTCCAAAAGGATCTCCTCTGACTCCACATCTTATATCCAGGTCACACTGATGCAAGAGGTGGGTTCCCAA